ACCTCACACATGACTGTGAATCCTGGACAGTTATGTAATAAACAAGCCAAAAAATGTATTGAGACCTCAGAGACGTAGTTTTAGGAAACATATCCTTAAAATACACTAGCGACCAGAACGAGAAGCAAGATATTTTGAAAGAGATGATGGCAGGAAGAAACTTATGACAAATTTCAGAAGGAGTCTGTCATCATGTTTTTGCCATATTATGAGAAAGAAGAGACTAACAAGCTGTTACCACGGGACATATCTTTGGGAAGAGAGATAGAGGACAACGCGAGAAAATTCTTAACATCCTTTTGGCGTGGCGTGGAGGGGTGTCAGCACGCGAACAGATTCACGTGTTGAAGGTCGCGGGTTACAGAGAGGCATGACCATCCAGCCAGTCAGTAAGGTATTTGACAATGATGATGAGGTAGGACAGTGATTATTTGTTTAAAATTCACACTGGAAATTATACAGTTTTGTTTATTAAATATTGACATTGCAATTTTATACAATGAGACAGGCTGTGTGGTCTCGAGGCATAGTATCCGCCTCGAGTGCTAGAGGTTCCGGGTTCCATCCCCAGTAAGTGCTGGGATTTGTTGACTTGGACTTCTAGTATTTCCCCTTGTCTCTGGGTAGTGAGATTTGACGCCTGTATGCATTATTGCGCACGTAAAAAATCGCTTGGCGGTTGGAAATAGAAAAGATTAGCCTTATCGCGCTACCAGGGCAACATTTTGAGTTCAAAATCTACCCAAAGTATTTCAAGATCCTCGCCGGTGCTACAGAGTCTGTGTCTTCGGACTCAGACTTGAGTTAGAAAATGAACGGAGCACTTATGGGTTACTACCTGTGTGCAATGATGTTGATCCTTTATTGAAAACTTTAAAACCTCAAACACAATGATCGATTTATAAGCTCAGACTAAGAATTCATACAATGATTTTTGTATAAACTAATACACCATCTTTACACAATGATCGCTAGCTAAACGGCGAGACACTGACTTCAAGCAATGTTTGCAGCAGTTATTTACAAATCTCCAGTAACCTTTGCATAATTTGAAAAGGGTGCCACTCGCTGGTGCAGATTATATATTAGAAAAGCTCTGACTTTTCTTGCCATCCTATAGAAAGCCCAATTAAATCCAATTCAGGGAGGCGAAACTTAAGTGAATGCAACATATATCTCTAACATTCATAAATATCTGTATATTTAGCTAGAAAAACAGCTTCACGTATATTTAAAAAACAAATATGTACAGATAAGTTTCATGTACTGAGTGTTATTCTTCTGTTTCGGTCTGAAAGAGGCAAGGAGATGAGATCGGCGAAAGATAGGTTCACAGACTAATGATCTTAGTTTTAAACCCAAGACGTTACCTATTGTCTCAACTTCTTTTCATCGTCAGATGATTAAAAGACGATAGGGCTGTTCACTGTATCGGAATTTTGTCTAATATGACTCGGTCCCTGTCTGCATTTAAGGATAGCCGACTGCCGAAAATGTCGCACAAAGAATGAATACCGTAGCGAATCCCATAGGAGTTCCGTAAAAACAATGTACCGGAGAACCGAATGCCACGTTGCGAAATTAACCGACACTTTCCGAAAATCGTGTCTTCACTAACATTTTACTATTTGTGCATTGTTTATTTAAAGATCATTTTCATTACACATCGGAGATGACCTCACGTGCTCCGATTCCGCCTGTCTCCAATTTTTTTTAGGCTAGCAACTGGCACTCTTGTTCTGGCTGTCTCGCTGCTCCAATGTGTACACAGTATGGTATTTTACCATTTGATCAGAGTACACTAATGAAATCTAGTTTTTCTTAGTGATCTATTTAAATTTTTGTCTAACATTTCTGAAACACCTACACTGCCAACCAGAAGATGGTCTTTAATCGCATTTACAAGAGCCTGCGTCACACGGTTTAACTGTTCGTTCCAGGTAATTCCTAATTCATCACTGTTTTCCCCTTCAGTTTTGTACCCTAGAGCAAAAACGTTTAGTCGTTTGAAATTGAAAAGTACAGCTTTAATCTCATGCTTCACCGGGACCAAACCCAGCACCTCCTGCACTCGAGACCACTCAGCCCACTTAACCCACTCAGCCCACTTAACCCACTCAGCCTCCTTAACCAACTTAGCCCACTTAACCCACTCAGCCCACTTAACCCACTCAGCCCACTTAACCCACTCAGCCCACTTAACCCACTCAGCACCCTTAACCCACTCAGCCCACTTAACCCACTCAGCCAACTTAACCCACTCAGCCCACTTAACCCACTCAGCCTCCTTAACCAACCCAGCCCCCTTCTTAATTCAACATTCAAAATTAGTTGGTCGTTTGTTATTGTTTGGCCAAAGTATTTGCAGAACTCTCATGAGACAATTATATTGGAACTCTCTTGTTTATATAAAGTTTCCGTTGTCATTTTCCAACATTCACTGTTTTTTAATAGTATTCCCATTTTCCCAGGCTGTTATATCTGACAAATTATCTTTGACATCTTGAGACACATATCATTTGAATATATATATATATATATATATATATATATATATATATATATATATATATATATATATATATATATATAATGGTGGCGGATCGCTGGAGAATTATAGTTTGTCGTTTGTGTATATTTGAAAAAAGAAGACACAAAAACTAGATTACACAATTGATTGCCAGGCATATTTCTCTGTATCTTGTCAGGTGCACACCACAGTAACAGTTACATAAATGAAGCAATTACGTGAATCCTTTATAAATTAAGTACAAATTCAACAACAATCAAACGAAGCTGCATGTTTTACCAGGGCAGCCGTGTCAGAATCATGTCTTTTTGTACTTCAGTTATGAAGATTCACATATTTGCTTCATTTGTGTAATTGTTACTGTATTTTGCAGATGATGAGATACAGTGAATTATGCCAGGCAATGGGAGTCGCCGAGGCGTAGCGGATCGGAAGGTCGTTGGTTCGCTCCCTGGCGTAGCCGGACTTTTTTCAAAAAGGACCTTGACCCCTTGACCCCCAGGTCTGCCCAGCCTTGAGTGGGTACCGGGTGCAGTGCCTGGAAGTAAAGGCGGCCGGCTTGATGCTGACCACATCACCCATCTTGTGCTGATTGGTCTATAAAAGTATAGGTCTAGCCCTATATGCCCTATACGCCTAAAGGCGTGGAAAAAGGACCTTCACTTTATTTTTATCATGCCACGCAATAAATTGTGTAATCTATTGTTTGTGCCTTCTTTATTCAAACTGACAAGGTGGAAACATTACTGGGAGTTTGGGTTATATTAGAAAAGATAGTAGCAAAATACTGATGCATAAAACGATGTTTATGTTTATTCAACGGATCAACAGCATAAGGTAGTCCCAATCAGCACAAAGAGACATCTCATAAAAAGCATATTCATTCCCACCCTATGCTACCAGTGCTAGACGTGGTCACTCACAACAATTCATAAAAGGAAATTAGTAACCATGGAAATAAGGTGTCTGAGAAAAACTGCAGGAGTGACCATAAAAGATAAAATCAGGAATGAGGTCATACGAGATCAAGTCAGTACAGAATCAATCCTAAATTACATAGAAAGACAGCAAAACAAATGGTTTGCCCACTGGGAGAGAATGCCTTCTGATGCTATACAATTAAAAGCATATACCACAATAGGAGAGGGGCATAGAGCAAGAGGTAGACCAAAAACAAGATGAAAGGATAACATCAGAAAAACTCTTCAGTACCACGATGTGTCTTTGGTCGAAGCAGTCAGAAAAGCACGAAGCTGGACCTTATTCTCCCTCGACACCCGAAGTCATAAAAGAGGACGTAAAGAAGAAAAACGGGTCAACATCATGCCACACGGGTGTAACCCATAAGTGCTCTGTTCTACTTCTAACTCACACCTAAGTTAAGAATCTCAGCGCAGCGCACGAACTCCATTGCACCGGCGAAAAAAATATGTAATGCATCACAATTTACATGTCATGGGTAAAACGATAAAATGAGCTAATAGGAAAAATCTCTCTCTCCCCCCCCCCCCCCCACGCCCCTCTTTAACTTGTCATAGCTTCCTGTTTCTCCAACTCATTGACTCTCCCATTCGCAACTCGTCTAAATCTTTCATGATTTTTTTCTTAGTTCAAGTGTATCTCACATATATACAATAGATATAATACTTAAAATGTCCCATCATATTACATTTACACGCTTGGTCTACTCATTATATTCGTCACACGTAATTGGTTAAAACCCCTGTATGCATATTCATTATTCTTATTGAATCACCGTTAGGGCTTCTATCAAATGATCACATGCGTTACCATTGATACCTTTTATATTGATTCCCGTGATCAACTGGGACGATTAGCTGGTTATATAAGTTTTCACGCACATGAAGTGCAGTTAGTTTAACAAACATCCGGTCATAAGTTTCTTCGTTAAATAGTGTACTAAAATTCCATAATCAGTTAGTCATATAAGTTCTCACGAACATGCAGTTTGTTTAGTTTAATAATCACCCGGTCATATAAGTTTATTCGGACGTATACTGTACTGAAGTGAATTCCATGATAAGCTGGTCATATAGGTTTCCATGTACATGCAATTTTATGATCTATCAGCTGATTATATGAGTTCTCAAGGATACTGTATGCACTGAGCTAGCTTTTCATATAAGTTCTCACCGTCATACAGTGCACTGAGTTTCATGGTCAGCTGGTCACGTATTTTAGTTCTCATAGATTCTTCATGTACTGAGTTTTATGACCAACTGATCATGCGTTATCTTACACACTTAGTTTCGAGTTCATTGATCACTGAGTTCGTAAACGTTTTACTACACACTTTATGAATGGAGTTCCATGGTCATGTGAACTTTCATATACTTTCAATATGTGCATGATTACAAGTGCCAAACCTGTATTTACACGTGTGCTTCAAATGTTCTCAACCCCACAGGAGCAGTAAACTTTACTAAAACAATTTGTTTTTAAAAACTAACTATAACAGTGTTTCCTCTGTAGTTCTTTCATTGTCGTGGTTGCCATTCGTCGACACCCAGTTTCTACTTTGTTCGCTTCCTCTTGCTTTAGTCCTCAGACTCGTGTAGTCCATAGGAAGTCTGGCAATGAGTTTATTTATCGGATAGCAGATCAGTTTCTTCAGCTCTTGCCTAAACATCTTTCCCGTGCAAACATAGATAAAAATATTGAAGGCGTAGTGGGTGATGCCGTACTCAGTAATGATTGCGAGAATTAATTGGTAGATGGCTCCTGTGCGTTTGTCCTCTTCGGTGTCACACGGTCTGGAATCACAACTGTATTTTAGGAAAAATGCGAATGCGATAGAAATAGGCAGCGTTGTGATGATCTGGTAAAAAGACACGGCAAGCAGCATCACTGTAGTGGACCCTGTCCTTTGTGCTTGACCATGCAGATGAACTGTGTCCATTCGCGAAAGCCTCCTCATTTCTCGAATCACCAACATATTTAACACCAGGACGGATAAAGGCACGATAAAAAATGCCAAAACATCTACAGTCATCGTGTAAACTACATAAAGAGATCCTGTTTGTCCCTCCACAACTTCGGATCTTATATTGCATTCAGACTTCTCATCGAACTTCCAAAAGTAACCGTGGACAGCATTAAGGCAAGGCATGGCCGCTACCATACATATAATCACTATTTTAGCCCTTTTTACTGTACAGTATTTCTCCCGCTGGAAAGGATGACATATCGAAATATATCTTTCTGTGGTGAATGCCAGTACTAAAAATGGTGACAAAAGCTGCGAGGCAAGGAAGAAAATAGGAAATCCTTCGCAGATCACTGGATAATCAAGGGGCTTCAGTTTCCACTTGTGCAGTTCAAACAAGAAATGTAAGACAAGGAAAATCAGATCATCGAGCGCCAGAGCAGCGAGGTAACACCCAGAGGAATGCCGCATCCGCTTCTGAAGCCATATCACAAGGGAGAAGATGTTACCCGGGAATCCAACGATGTACAAAATAGGTGTGACGTACAAATCTATTTTGTGGGTGATTTCAGTCAGTTCGTTGTAAACTGTTTGGTTCGTGCTGTTGGTCATATTACCCTCAGCCATCTGAAATAGAAACAATGAAACAAATTAGTTTTCACAAAATTCTGTCAGCTGTTAATCAAAGTTGAATACAAAGATGCTAAACATAAAAAGAAAGCAAACGGGATCACAAAAACAGGACACAAACTACTCTTTCAGGAAGCATTGTTAAAGGTTCATCCACGACTGGCTCCAGCTGACTGGGCCGTGCTGCTGACGTCATTGTGTCGGGCTGATCATGCGTTACGGCAGTTGTTCTCAAGCAAGAAATAAACTATTTTCGACAGTGGCAAGGAAAGTCAGCTTACATTTAAACTTTTACATATCTTCATGCCTTCTTTAATAATTGCACAATTTTTAGTCGACTTTTCTTGATTTTTGCCGTCTTCCCACCGGCATTCGCTCATGGCAGCCCAGGGTGCCTCGGCACCTAGTTTGAGAACCGCTGCTTTACTGCATTGTTAACCCGACCCAGTGACGTCAGCTGAACGGCCTGTCAGCTGGAGCCGGCCGTGGTTCATGGTTTTGAGGAGTGGCGGGGGTGGGGGTGTGGGCTTAACAAATAAACGATGCTAGGTCCTAAGTCTAACAGAGCTACCAGGTAATAGCCTGGGAAATGAAGGCAGCCGAGTTTAAACACATCAACCCCCGAGTGCGAATTGGTCTGTGCAAATATAAGTCTAGCATCTTATTCGAGGTGTATCTCTAGGGTTAAAAAAAAAATACAGTAACGGTCTTTTACCTTAATTTAAAGAGAAAAAATATAGTTGTGTATCCTTTACATGACGTTGCAGAATCAACCCCAACTTTTCTTTTTTCTTTCTGATTTGCGATGCAGATTTTACGTTAAATAGTTTGCCACTGCATACTCAACGTTCGGCTAACGGTACCACTGTCCAAACCAAGGCAAAATGGTCTGCTGTCAAATCAACTGAAGCTGGGACATAACCCAGCACCCCGGCATTATGAAGAGCCTTCCGACTGTTTACGGCACTGACGTCGAGAAAGTTAAAAACAGAGAGGAAACACACAAAGCCAGAAAGTACAAGGGATCGTAGAAACAGAAAAAAAGTTACTTTTTTTAACCAAAGTTTACGACGTCAATCGAAGTTGAATGCTAATACAGACTTGACATAGGCTGCTGTATGATGAACCCCTTCTATATACCTCAGAGCTGAAACACAAATATTCCCCGTGCGTATTAAGGGGCCCCCTTTTGTTTTAGGGAAGGGGGCGGGGGTAAAGGGTAGACCCAAAGCACCCTAATAAGCATGTCGTAAAAGTTTACTAATTAGGATTGTTTCCCTTGAAGTGCACCTGCCTTAGATACGATGAACCGACGGTCTGCAACAAATAAAACAAATCTAGAAAAAAATGATGTTCACGCACAGGTCAAGTTTTAGAACCAGACCAACGTTCAGAAGTTGACGAACAATCACAACTTTTCACTGATGAACGGTAAAAAAAAAAATAAGAAGAAGTGGGCTATACATGTACGATGCAGGAAAAACCCAATAGGTGTGCATACAAACACGGGTGCTTTATTAATATCCTACCCCCAGATGACGTCACAGGACAGTCCACATTTTAGAGGGTGGTAAACCTGGGTTTTCTGGCTTTCTGATGCTTTTAACGACCCCACAACTTCTAGAACTGGCCCTAACCCCAACCCACCTACGTCCCACTAGAGAGGCCAGCCTAGGCTCCACGACTGCATGCAGATTAGGTCCCACCTCTGCATGCAGCCTATCTACCACCCCCTGAAATATTAGACTGTCGCGTGACCTGTGGATTTTCCCTGCTTGGGGTAGAATATTAATAAAGCACCCAAACACGACACAACTTTACTGTTTCACGCACCGTAGAGAGATAATCAGCAAGTACTTCGGATCCAAAATGAGTCAAAACGATCAAGAAAAGAATACACTTTACTCTGTCTCACAATGCCGCGCAGCAAAGTTGAATGTAGATATATCAGACACATAAAAGAAAAGTAACAGCGATTTTACACACAGGCTACACGTTACTTTTTCATAAAACGTGTAAAAGTGAAAGTAAAGGACCCCTTTCCAAGTCTTAGAGTGTATGGGGCATTTAGGGCTAGACCTATTTTTTTTATAGACCAGTCGACACTCGGTTGGTGATGTGGCCAACATCATGCCGGCCGCCTTTTCTTCATAGGACTTTATCTGGAACCCATTTGAGGCTTGGTCAACCTGGGAGCCAATGCCATTGTTTTAAAAGTCTGGCACCGACAGGACCTGATCCCACGACCTCAGAACAGCGTCTAGCCACTACACCATGGAGGATTCTTTATAAAAACTGTACGAGATGTTAATCAAAGTTTAATACAAATATATAAAACAAGAAAGCAAACCCGAACATATTATACAAATTACTCTTTCAAAGAATTTGTGTGAGATGTTCATAAAAATTGATTACAAGTAAATGACATAAGAAGAATTGTAACTTCTTCTTTTTTTTTCTTTCGTTCGCTTGAAATAAATTATCTATATCTGCAATGTTGTCTTTAGTATGAACTTGAATGTCTTTTCTAATTCACTCAACGACCCGTAAAGTTTAACTTGCACCGATGGTTCTCTTGGCCCACAGTTTTGCCTTGATGTGTTGTATTTGGGACAGTCTTGGATGAAATGATCTGTTGTCTCAGATCATGTCCTTCAAGACTTTCTTACTTAGAATGTAACTGATCAAATGTCAAACGTTCATTGCTCTTTCACGTTTGGCTAACAAGTTTATGAAAGTTAAATGCAAATATATGAAACAGAAAAAGAAAAATCCAACACACAAACATTCTCAGGCTATTATCATATTTTGGCTCCCTACAGGCCACAAGTTATCAGTAGACGGTGTAGTCTTTTTACTCGTGCTAGGATGATTACGTTCTGAAAGGTTGAAATTGGTATTTAGTGCTTGGTCAGTGTGGCTGACATCCAAGATAAGCTGTTAAGGTTGAAGGAGTGTCAAATCTTTCGGCCGCAGCCCAGAGAGAAGCATTTCCACTCAGACACTAAAGACAAAAACAAGTTTTGTCTCCCTTAGACGATATTGCAGAACGAATGCCTGCATTACGCGCATGCGTGTGTTTGTATGTGTGTGTGTGTGTGTGTGTGTATTTGTCTGTGTGTGTGTATTTGTCTGTGTGTGTACATAGATAGTTAGCTATTAAACAAAAAACTATGCATAGAACCCCCCCCCCCCCCCCCCCCGCAGTGAAATATTTTCTGAAAACGTTATCCTTACGTGACATTTTCAAACATATTTAGATCGAATTACTGTAGCTATTTGTTGTATTCTGGTTATGAAAAGTATCTGGAGGCTGATGTGAATTACTTTGAGCACCTGTGGTAACTTTAAACATCATATGTGGGTTGTATGCATTTGTTCGTGTTCGTATAAGTTTAGCATACACATGTAAGGCATACACATGTAAGGTTGTTATTTTAAAAACTCCATGCAATACATCGCAACCGTAATGTTTCTATCTATCTATTGTCTTCTTCACTTTTACCGGGTTGCAGCCCGGTGTATTGGTTTAAAATATTTATTTCGTGCCTCTCGCGTGATTTGAGTGACAGTTTTCTGGATCTTCTGGCCGTATTCAGCTACTTCATCTATCCATTTTTTCCTGGGTCTTCCTCTGGCCTTTCTTCCCGATGTTCTACTGTAAAAGGCCTTATAGGCAATCTGATCCGGTTGCATTCTTACTAAATGGCCAAACCACTTCATTCTCTGTCTTTCAATATGGTCCATGCATGCTCTTGTTCCAACATTGTCTCTAATGCTGACGTTTGTGACTCTGTCTCTTCGTGTATTGTTGGTGACTCATCGGAGACATCACATTTCACACGTAGTTATTTTTTGCATACGTGACTTGTTCATTCATTGTCCACCGTAATGTATTCAAAGACCGCAAATATCGTACATGTAGATACATTTAACTGCTGCGCGATTACGGTGTATACAGTTTGTGTGTGTGTGTGTGTTGTTGTTGTTGCCAACTCTGTGTGTGTGTGTGTGTGTGTATGTGTGTGGATGCTTGTGATTTAACTCGGCAGTTCTCTGTTCAATAGACTGCCATTGTCCCTAAACGTTTGGATATCGATCCTATTATGAAAATCAACGCAAAGCAGTTGGCTGCCTAATCGCCTTGCAGCTGGAATTGAACTAGTATCTCGGCCTTAGAAACCTCAAAGGCAACGCGCAAGCCACAGACGCCTACCTAAAAGACTGTATACATTTGTTTTTGTCTAAATTGCTCACTGAGATTAAATCAGAAGGTAAGTAAAATCAAGTAAAGAAGCCTTCTCCACACCCTTAGGTGTATTGGGTTATAGGACTTGACCTATATTTGTATAGACCATCGGCACTCTGTGGGTGATGTGGTCTGAATCACACCGGCCGTCTTCCCTTCCCAGGATTGCACCTGGTACCCACCCAAGGCTGGGTCGACCAAGGAGTCAAGGTCATTTTTGAAAAACGTCGGGCTCCGCCAGGACGCGAAACCACGATCTTCCGATACGAAGGCGGACGTCTAGTCGCCAACGCCACGGCGACTCCAACTTTGGGAGTAGGCTTAGGATGATAACTGAAACCAATAATTTGATGCCCACTGCAAGGGATTTGCCCATAACCGAAAATTGCGCCAGTCGGCAACAATCGGATTACCAGATTGGATGTTAACTTGATCACATGCTTGTGTGAGTTTTGGTGTCCAAAGGACGTTATGCTGAGAAGTTCGCTCTCCTACTAAATACGCATGACCAAATCAGAAGGAGCTGAAATTAGTGAGGAAACATCATAAATGAAAGGACAAGAAGAACACAGTTGACAACAGGATAGGGAATCAGCGGTTTAAATTGGAGGAAAGAAGCATTAAGCCCAGAGACGGCGCAAATACCAGAACTTTAGCCACGAAAATTGCGCAAATAAACAAGACCACAAATATAGCCAGAGACTATTGGCAGCTTCGGCTAGCAAGCAGCAGGTTAAACGTGGTTGAT